ACACACACACACACACACACACACACACACACACACACACCACCAAATTCCAATTTTGCCAAGGGGCATTTCAATTTAGTTTTCCTTGCAATCACAACCACAGACCCTCAAAAGGCAATCAACACTCGGGTTGCCACACTGGTATGATGTGTTAGCTTGACTGTATTGAGCATTAAGACCGAGGAGCAGAGGACTTGAGTTTGAATTCCTGTTGGAGCTCAACTCCAATAAAATAACAAAACAATAAAACTCTCAAATGGTTTGTTATGTATCCACCCACTCAGATGCAGGAACATAATGAGGGACAACTGTGTGGCCGTGTGATGACAACAGAACATGTACATGTATGACTGAAACTGTCCACACCTCTGTTACTACTTATAGACAATGGCCCTTTGGCATTAACCCACCACCTAAAACAAATATATGAACCCTGTAATCACTGTTTTACTGAATTAATTGAATTTTCTTGCCGAATATAAACGTGGATTAATACGTCTCCATTTGCAGGTTGGTGCCCCCCATCTTTTACAGTGCAGTCCCTCTATTAAGTGATCACTTCACAGCCATTATGTAAAAGACAAATGATCACAGCAACCGTTGACTCACATGTGAATTTAGTCAAACTTCATATATAATTTACCAAGACATTAGATCAGCTGTTGCACAAACACCTCCAGCAGTGACACTGAATGACCTTCGTGAATACATGGACGCAGTCTGTTACCCTGTTTTACGCGGCATTCTCGTCTCTTGCACTCTCCACACACACTCACACACAATCTGTGACAGGTGTAATTTTGGAATCATACTGTCGGGACCGCTATCCTCCCCCCTGCTCTCTTGTTCCATTTAGTTCACTATTTGACATCTTTTTGACAGGATTTTTTTCGATATTTTCATTCGGGGGGCGTTGGAATAGATTCTTCCACTGACCGCTTGAATAGCCATACGAAGGGGCAGCCTGCAAGTGGCCTGCCTTTTAGAAATCTATGATCTAAGATCTATTTGTCCTTTTTTTCCCTGTATTTGTCTGAGAGTGAGGCACAATGGGACCATCTGGGTGTTCATACAGAGGAATACAAATTGCATGCTGAGCTGGAATGGACCTGTGTTGTGATTATCTGCATTCCTATTAATGCCTGGACACAGGTTGTTGTCTCTTTGATACCACATTGGATTTGGCCATCGCAGTGTGTGATGTCTCCCAGGTTCCCAGACATGTCGTCCTCTAGTATAGCTTACGGAACACTGTAGAGTATTGATGGGCAAAAACTTGAGCAGTCACTGGTTGAGATGGTGAGGCCAGAGAATCGTCTCTCCCTGATCCACTGTCCCTCTTTCTTTCAGTCTTTGAGGTGCAGATTAATATTTTGGCCCTAATGACTGACCACTGGTTTTAATGCTACGCCGTCGAGGCTTGTTGTAAGCTTGTCTCTGCGTCTCGTCTTTTCTCATAATGAGCAAGTTTGCATGTAAGCTGCTTTGTCATCTGATAACATTATCTGAAGATAATTAATCTGGCTTTCTTTCTGCCCTATTAGACTTGTTGGATAAAAAGTATTGAAGACTCAGGAGTGTCTATTAGAGATCACCAAATGAAGTTCAGCTTCTTTACTCAGTAGAACAGACTTTGACATGATTCCATACAGTTCCCAGCTTAACTCTGAACTGTTTCTTAAAATAAAACAGCCAGAAAAGGCAGGAGGGTACTGCTTCTCTCACAAATCAATCAACTGCAACATGGCATGAGCAGCCAGTGGGAGCTGCAGCAGCAGTAGTGTCAAGCTCTATCACTTCAAAACTTGAAAATCCTGCATAGTTTTTGAATTTGCTGTTGCTAAAAAATATTAACCTATGGTTTTATTCGAGACTGTGAATCCCATCTAAACAGCCGCTGGCTTTTGAGTAGGACTGAGAGACAGGCCTGCGAAAACTCTTTATTTTCCTTTAAGCTTGTTTATATTACAGTTATTTAGTGGCACCGTGGATCTGCTGTCCTGAAGGAAAGAGCTTTGACCATGAGTCCCTATAGCTTGATTTTTGTTTCCTGTAAAAGCTGTGGTGTGCGACTGTAAGCTTCAAATACTGTTCACTGTTGCTATATGACCAATCCATAGTTATTGGATCAGCAAAAAGACGATGTGTTGATCATAAGGAAAATATTGAAATGAAATGATGAAAGAAGTCCTTTATTTGAAGAAAAGTCTTTTGAAGACTCAAAAAAAGACTTTGATGATTATAAAATCTCTCACAAAACAGGGATAACAACTGGAAATGAAATGAAGAATCAAGTCTCAGTTGGAAGCCATTCAAACAAAGTAATATTACCAGTGATTGCATCAAGGAATCTACTAATGATGAATAAATCTCAGGAAAAGTTAGGAGGTTACTCACTGACAAATCGAGCTTGAATCACCTCAGGACAGATAAAGCTGGCAAGCCGTCTCCCCCTTCAAGCAAATCAAGGCCTATTATTGTGAGATTTATTTTGTTTTAAGGACAAACTTGCAAAATAAAGCTAAAAATCCCCCCCCCCCAAAAAAAGATCAGCCATCCTCATCACTGACGGAAGTGAACCCAGCAGTCACTTTCAACAGAGCTTAAGAAGTTTTTCTTCAGAGAAGTGAGAATCTGCTGGAAGGATAACTATCTCAGCAGTACTCCATCAATCAGGCCTTTATGGCGAGTTGTTAGAGAAAAGCCACTTTTGAGTCTAGAATTTATCGTTGCCTGCTTTTAAATGATATTTAAAAGACCCCTGACAGCACGAGAATACAGATTCCCTGACGTGTTTATGAATGTGAGATCAATTTGCAAAAAAAAAACATTCAAAAACTTGTCTTCATGGAGTGAGAGTAGACTAATGTGTTCACATGTCAATTTAATCAGTGTAAACTACAACACAAGGGAGTCTGTGGGTGAGTGGGAGCTGTGAGACTGAGCACAGAACACTAAGGTTTTAAATGTATAAAAATTCAAGCCCTTTGATGGCTTGATATGCAATAACATTTCCTACACCTGCCAAAATACTTGAATACCATACATTTTGTCATGATTGACTTAAAATTATATTATTATTAGTGTTTGGAAATTCAATCAATTCAGCCTTTTCTCTCAAATCCAAGCCCTGAGTCCTCTGTGCTCCCCTGTTAGAATTACTCTGGTCCAGATTTCTTGGTTAATCTACAGAAACAGATGTATTCACATTGAAATTGAAACCGCTTCCTCTTCTCTTATCCATCAGACCAAGTTTGACAGCACGAAGAAACAGATGGAGTCGATAGAGATGGAGGTGATGGAGGCTCGACTCATCAGGGCTTCTGAGCTCAACGGAGAGATGGATGATGACGACACAGGTCAGACACACACACCCACACATACTCTTCCTCTGGTCTATATATCCCTGCCTCTGCTGATTACTTTATTATTATAAATTGATTTAAATATTCCTGCTGATGCAGTGCACAATTGTTCATTTTAAGTTCATAATTATTAATTAAATGTCACTTTTAAAGCAGCAAGAAATAGCCTAATAGGATTTATGGTTTACATAGGCCCACTGTGGATTGTGAGTTATCTTTATGTATAAATATGTTTTTTAAAAAATTCCTTTTTCCACAAATTGCAGCCTTAGTTCATATCCTGAGCCATAATTCTGTAGCTCTACTTCCTTTGCACTGACTAAGCAGCAAATGATGCAGCGTCATATTATGTAGACTTTAGAGTAAGTATTAGTATTAGTAGAAAATGATCATCATCTCCTCCAGATATATTTTCCCGTTGTAAAATGCATATTATTGCAATAAATCGAGATATGAACCAAAGGAAGCTGAAGCAGGCTGTGAATGTGCTGATGTGACAGGAGGAGAATGGAGGTTGAAGTATGAGCGAGCCATCCGAGAGATTGAGTTCACAAAGAAGAGACTGCAGCAGGAGTTCGACGACAAGCTGGAGGTGGAGCAGCAGAACAAGCGGCAGCTGGAGAGGAGGGTGGGTGGACACATTGGAGAGTTTCACTGACACACAACTTCTTTTTTAAATGTTTTATTTAATCATCTCTTATCACATCTCCAAACCTTTTCTTTTTATCTGATGCAGAATTCATTCATTTTCATCAACATCTTATTAAATCCATCCGCCTGAAACTGTGTTCACGCTTTCACGGCTCCCAGATCACCTTCATTTTTCTTTTGTGTGTGTTTCTGTGCGATTGTGCAGATCAGCGACCTGCAGGCCGACAACGAGGAGTCCCAGCGAAACATCCAGCAGCTGAAGAAAAAGACCCAGCGACTGACGGCCGAACTGCRGGACACCAAACTTCACCTGGAGGGCCAGCAGAGCCGCAACCACGACCTGGAGAAGAAGCAGAGAAAGTCAGTGCACACACACACACAGTCATATGTGACTGCACATAGATATGATGCTTTGTTCACACGTATTCCCACAGACTGAGTGGGGTCCAGCTGTGTTGCTATAGTAACAATAATTGTACAGACAAGTCTGCAGGTCATTTGTTCTGCTGCTTGACTGCGTGTGTGCGTGTGTGTGTCCAGGGACATGTTCTTTAGCCGCACGTTGCCGTGTGTTGGCGAGTGCGCACAGTTCATACACTCCTTTTTCTCACTTTTGAATTTTTCCCTTCTCAAATCATCTCTCCTCAGATCGGCAGTGGGTGTGTATCATTAGAGTGTTTAGACAGCGTGGTTCAGCGGCGTGTGTGACCGAGCGTGTGTGTCTGTGTGCAGGTTCGACAGCGAGCTGAGTGGAGCCCAGGAGGAGGTGCAGAGGGAGAAGACCCTGAGGGAGAAACTGGCCCGAGAAAAAGACATGCTGACAGGAGAGGCGTTCAGCCTCCGACAGCAGCTTGAGGTTTGTGTCTGTGTGTGTCCAGCTTGTGTCACCAAACATCGATATGATGTTTGTGTAATTACCTACAGGTTTGGTGAGGCCTGGTGAAACCTAATGGGATGCCACTCTTACATTAGTAACACCAACTGAATTCATAGTAGAGGCTCCAGAAATAAAGCCTGTATTCCAAAAATAATTTATTCAATTTAATTCAATTTAAAAGAAGTACAGTTATACTGGGAGATTTTTTTTAAGCGCCCTAAAGATTGGAAATCCATGAATTGTAGAATCTGTCCAGTAAGTGTGGTGAAGCATAGAGCAGACAACAGTGGAGGAAGTTTTCTCAGTTGCCATGTTCAAGGCTCTGTTGGGATCGAGCTGAGAAGCTGTGACCAGAGCTGCTGTGACTGTTCAGTTGGAACTCTGAAGACGAGATGAAAAGTAGGCCACGAAATAAACAACACAACAGAGGGAAGAGAAGCAGCAAGCCCTCACGTGTGATAGATCGGAAGCTGTCGGACCGGACTAATTGATTCAATTAATTGAAAATGTTTGGCCCAAAAATACTTACAAACAAATGAATCTCATCAGACTTTAAGATAATTAATCACATTTCGTTTTATCACATCAAAAAGAGTCCATTTAATAAATCAGAAGTCAAATCTCTACATCATATTAGCTCACCAGCTTTAGGATTTAAAAAAAAAAGAATTCAATGGAGACACAAGCCACATTTGCTTTTCCTCATATTGTTTGCTCAACCTGTTTGACACGTCCTCAGTGTCTCTGCTCTGCCACTGTCACTCCTGTGTCTCGAAGTCGACTGGAGAGTGCTTTAATTTGAAAATGACAAATACAAGTGGGAATTATGTGGTAAAAAGGGTCGAGATGGAGGGAGAGAGAGAGAGAGAATGAGCAGCTGTTATACATATTAGCTGCATAATACATTGCAGCGTTCTATGTTAAACACGAGGTAAACAGGGAACAAGCATATTGTTGTGAAATATGTGATTAAAATCTTTTTGAAGCACAAGAGTCAAAATTCTCAACAGACATGAGAAAAGAAACTGATGCACACACACTGAGGTTCCCTGGCTGAATTCCAGCCGATGACCTTGTAGTCGCAGGGTGCTTTCCGCTCTGCTTACTCCTCCCGTCCTTGCTCCTCTGACCCTGAAATTGATCGAGATCCCCTGTCATCAGAGGAGAGAGGAGGCTTTCGATGTGGGAGATTTTGAAATGAATTTGAAACCTGTTAAAATGGTTCGGATATGAATCAAAATGGAAATTCACAATCAGGGACCTTAATTTGCCCAAAAGATGCAAAATTTTCCACAAAAATTTTAAGTGGAAAGGAACTTTACCTCTAAGGGAAGTATAAAAAATACCATGAATTCAGCTGAGGTGACAATACAATACCAAAAGGGTCCCTAGTACCTCTTGTGTTTGGAGCCCTAAAAAAACACAACAATAAAATAAGAATACGAGCAACTGATGGTAAACTCTGCAGGTATAGTGAGGGAAAACCAAGTTTTATTTTGTTGTTTTTGCAGTACCATGCATCGATACTAGGATTATACATGCTTTGTGCAACATTATATGCTCCACCCTGTGTAATTTGATGGAATTTATTTACTCTTGTCTACACAGTAGAGTTTGTGTGTGCGTGTTCGTAGTAGTTCCTGCTGAGCTGAATAAATATTTGCTCACATATACTGTTGTGTTTTTGTATGTCTGTTCCTACTCCTTGTTCACACTGTAATCTCCTGACATTGCCTTCCTGTCTGCTCCAACTGTAACCATCTGTCCTGCAGGACAAGGACCTGGAGGTGTGTGCAGTCAACCTGAAACTGGATCAGCTGGAGGCTGAGCTGCAGGACCTCAATTCCCAGGAATCCAAAGATGAGGCATCACTGGCCAAGGTTTTTATCCTTTCTTCTTCTTTTCTTTGTTTTCATGATGATTCTTTGTGTTATAGTAGTATTACCAATTACCAATCTACTAATACTTTCTCAAAAATATTATTTATATATTTATTATTCAGGTAAAGAAGCAGCTTCGTGACATGGAGGCCAAGGTGAAGGACCAGGAGGAGGAGCTAGATGAACAGGCCGGCAACATCCAGATGTTAGAACAGGTACAGACGAAGCTCTGAGCTCCGATCTCAGAAAAGCTGCATTTGTTGATCACAACTGCTTATTTACACATCCTTTAAAAAACATAATATAATCATCCTGTCATTTGATTCATGTTATTTTAAACTACATTGATTATTGCAGCTTTTTAGGGATCAAGATAGACATTCACAGTAACGTGTTCATGCCCCTGCCTGTATCACAGCTAACACTAAAAGTAAACATGACTTTTCTTTGTCATTCCTGTTTGTGTAATTAATTAAAAACAAGATGCAACCTGGTAGTTAGAGAGCATTGGAGGTATTTGTCTGTGTATTTTCACTTCAGAAATAGCCAGGCTACCTGTTTCCACCTGCGTCTAGTCTTTGTGCTAAGCTATGCTAGGCACATCCTTTTCAACTTGTCTCCACAGACCTGAGATTCATTTCCTTCCTTTAACTCTTATAATAAATGATGTGAATGCCGAAGGAATCTTTTGAGCACTCAGTGGGTAATATGCTTGAAAGTACCAGAATTTGATGACAAAAAAATTCACCAGGAAAGACGCTTGAAGAGCAGCACCGTGTCTCAGGATGGTTGGACCGAGCTGTGCATGATACCAGAGACTTACACATAGCAGCCATTAGGATTGTAATACATTGGCCCCCGACTGTCTCCGAGGAGCTACAAACATCAATCCATACATTATTCACTGCATGTGCAGTGCATGATCATCTACAGCTCACCAATGGGACAACCCTCATTGTTCTTTCAACCAATTAGTCATCGCACAGCGTGTAACGTCTGTTTTTTTTATTTCAAAGGCCAAGCTGCGTCTGGAGATGGAGATGGAGCGCTTGCGCCAAACCCATTCCAAGGACATCGAGAGCAAGGACGATGAGGTGGAGGAGATCAGACAGTCATGCAGCAAGAAGGTAAAGTTTATTTCAGGTTTTAATACACTTAATACTCTAATACACTTAATGTGTGCTGCTGTGAAGAGAGAGAGAAACATTAAAAAACAACTGAGGAAGAGAAACCATTATAAACGTGTTGCTTTAATGACTCACTAAATGTCCTGATCATTAATGGTTCAAGCAACCACTCAAACAGGGAGGGGTGGATTAAAAACAAGAATGATCAGCACCAGAGTGGGTCGAACTACAGTAATGTGTATATTCTAGATTCCGGAATTAGCAGAAGGACTTCAGTGCATGTCTGACAGCAGCGTTAGAAACTGTAATCAGATAGTTTTGTATACTTTTATTAAAGTTTTGTATGCACCATGTATGTTCTTATGTGTGATCAGATAAAGTTACTAATCTCTGTGTGTGCATGTGTTTCGTATGTCTGTGTTTAGCTGAAGCAAATGGAGGTTCAGCTTGAGGAAGAATACGATGAGAAGCAAAAGGTGCTGAAAGAGAGGAGAGAGCTGGAGTCAAAGCTTCTGTCCGCACAGGACAAGGTAACTCCACCAAACACAATGTGATGGATCCCAGTCCTGTTGAATCTGTGTACGCAGCCTATGTGCTAGATAAATCATGAAATACACACCTATGAGCTGCAGTAGCAGCCGCCTCCCTCTGGATAAAGAAATCTAAGTTGAAGTTTTCTTAAACCTTAACTGTGACTGCAAAAAAATAAATACACTGTGCTCATCAGGTCTCACTCATTTTACATCTGTATTATCATCCTGGCCGAAAACAAAGGGGTAGTATATTACCTATACTACTTCATCATAAATTACAGTATACTACTTTTAGTATACCAACTAAAAGCTATACTATATATATTTCTTTGAATGGTAAAATGAGTAAGTCCTCTTCCTATTGTATCAGTGGAGTTGTTGAAGCTCAGCTGTACCTGTTTTCCAGGTGAGAAGTGGAGACATGGAGACTGAGAAGCGTCTGAGGAAGGACCTGAAAAGAACCAAGGCTCTGCTGGCTGATGCCCAGATCATGTTGGACCACATAAAGAACAATGCACCGAGCAAGAGGGAGATCGCCCAGCTCAAGAATCAGGTACGGCCATGACAATAACATTTTTTTTGGCAACCTAAATAAAAACCCTTTGTCACATGTTAAAGATTTCTTTTCAAATTTCCACTACAAACTTGACTTGACTGCAGTTCTATGAATTTGAGATGACTCCCCGTAAAAAAATAAGAACTTTATGAGCTCAGCGAGTCCTGATTTCAGAGAAGCAGAGAGGATATAAATAAAGGAAATAAGGGATCTGCTGAAGCCAAAGAATGGGGGGGGAAGAAGATAACAGATGGAGTTTCAGCTGTTGGTCACACATTCACTGAAAGAAAGGAAATGGTTCCGATGTGAAAAGTCTTTAAACACGGCAGTATACTGGGTGTTAAAATAATCATGCTGGGTCCCAGAGTATGACGTTTGTTGTTTGAGTGCTTCTCTCTTGTCTGTGGGTTGACTGGAGGAACCACGAGTTTAAGAATAACATCAATCACCTGGGGAAAATTGAAGTGAAGTTCTCCTGAATCACTCGTACGCACCACTTAAGAACAAATCGGTTTGTGTGAACGGTCCTTTGCACGAGGCTCAGTGTTATCCAGTCTAAATCAGAAGTGATAAGTCTAGGTGTTATCTTAGACTCTGATTTGAATTTCGAGTCCCACATTAACAAGGTGAGCAAAACCACATTTTTCCACCTTAGAAACATAGCAAACGTTCGGCCATTTATAAATCAGACAGATGCTGAAAACCTCACGGCTCTGAATGGTTTAGGACAGAGTTACATAGCTGTCCCCTCCAGAACACTAAAGATCATCTGCAGCAAGTCTATTAGAGGTTCCCAACAACAGCTGAAAGAAAACTTGGAGAGCAGCTTTTCGTAATCTATGCTCCAAACAGACTGCTGCTAGACATCAGAGAAGCTAGTTAACGTAATCGGAAAGGTTGCAGATAATGTTGTGTTGCCACCAACGTAACAGATTGATTTTGTTCTAGAGCAAAGCTGTACGTGCTGTGTGTCACGTCTGTATGTTCAAACTTGACTGACTTATAAAATGACATCAGAGGCGGCTCAGGCCTCACATCTCACTGATCACAGCCTCCTCAACTCTCCCATACCTCCCAATGGAGACCTCACAGTTTGAAATTCACCAGTGCACAGGATAACTGGGCCTTCTTTGAAATTAACAACATGAATATGAACCAGAGTACATATCATTTAACTGCACGTGTAACTAACTTAACTTCAAAATGTACATTTGCTGTAAAGATACACTTTCCTCGATTTCTGTGTCCGTTCCAGCTGGAGGAGTCTGAGTTCACCTGTGCGGCCGCAGTTAAATCTCGTAAGTCCATGGAGGTGGAGATTGAAGACCTACACGTCCAGATGGAGGACATCTCTAAAATGAAGCAGGCGGTCAGTACAGCTCTCTGCCTCTTTTAAACCTCCCATTCTTTAAAAGCTTCCTTTTCAACAAGCGTCCTGGTGTGACCCACCTACGGATTTTGATCAAGTTTATGGTTAAGTTTACTGCGTGTCGTTGTTAAATAGGAGGAAGAAGCTAAAGCTGTCATGGCATTTGGAAATGATCATCAGTGGTGTTCACGTAGGTTGGGTTTTTTAAGGCTGTGCCATCTGTGGTGGCAGGAGGGCGGCAGTAGATATGTCAAAGTGGTGTCTTCAGCCGGAGATAAAGGGTTAGGGGACACATCTGCTCCCTCACAGCTCATCCTCTTGCTCCCACTGCTCCTCATTTTCTGCGAGAGGGTGAGGTGGGAGTATCTTTCTTATTTCCCTGCAAAAATAAAACCATTTATTCTCTCTCCATCTTTTTTCTTTACATCTGTAGTTTTTACTTTTTTTTTTTCTATTCCTCTCTCATTGTCTCCGTGCCTGTTTTGACCTTAACATTTTTCTGTCCTTGCGACTTGACTTTTCTTACTTTAATGCTCTGTTCCCATGGCAATCTGCTTCCACGTGTCGGTCAAACTGCCTTTTTCCTCCTTAACTCGTACAATTTTCCTGCTGTACCCTCAACCATACTCTCTACGTCGCTGAGGTTAAATCTCTGTGTTTCTCGGTAATCGGTCTTGTAGATTTTTGCACGCTCTTGCTTACAAACATGCAAACCCACATACAAGTGGTCACAGGTGAAAACAAAACCATAGTTATTGTCAAGTTGACTTTTTTACTAAAGAGAATACAGCTAAGGATTTAAACTTAAATTTTCGTAGTGAGGACTTGTTGGCTTTAGCTCAAACTTAACTGTGGTACTTCTTTTTGATTGAAGGCGTGATTTTTTTCTACCCTGTGTTAGAGCATGTTGTCTTCAAGTCTCTCTCTCTGAATCTCTCTTTGTGTCTCTCTCTCTGTGTCTCTCTCTCTCTCCATTAGCACAAATTTCTTCACAGTGACAGCGTAGTTCTGGTGCAGTGTACTTATCCCCGACCTACTTTTGACTTTTATAACACACATCTCTTGTGTTTGACTGTCTATCTTATTTAGCATCATTTTGTTTTTACATCAGGTCGTGTAGAGAGAGGTTTTGACAAGTATTCCACTTTAGAAAAAAAAAAGAGTCAATTAAATTTTCACAGAACGTGTGGTCTGTTTCTTCGAATAAAAATCTAGCAGAGATAAGAAGAGGGTGTCGCCAGCTGTTTGTTTTGAGATGATGTCTCTGAGGATGACCTCTGCAGCACACGCCCAGCCTGCTGGGAGAGAAAGCGGCTGTTAGAATTCATGATAGAAATAGTTACTGAGGATTGTGTTTGCATGATTCTCCACTGGCCACGTCAGCAAAGACAAAATCACACAAATAGCATTTCTTTCAGATTGTCAACCATCTTTGGCGTTCTTCCACCATTCTCCTGGCATAATTGCAGTGTTTTGACAAAATTGTCTCGCATGTTTTCAAAAGCTTTATTTATTCCACCGAGAGCCGCAGCGGTCTGAGAGGAAAACCAAGAGCCGGCCCACATGATTGCGTTCAGATTGCGCTGACAGCCTATTGTTAAATGTGTTAAATGACAGTTTGATGCTGCCGACTAGAACTACTTTTTTTTTTTTTTTTTTAAAGCATCCATCACAATATTTTCCCCACCGCACAAAGCTGGAGCTGGGTTCAGAGCTTTTATCAGAACTCATTGAGGCTAAGGGTGGATTTAAAAAAGGAAAGCGAGATGTATAAAAGAATCTGCCCCAGATCTCCCACTGATATTTTTAGTAAAGTAAATGTCACGGCAGTGGGTGGTATTAATAAAAATAAATCCATATTTTCAAGCTGTCCTTTGATTCTGTGAGTTTGGTTTATTCTACATCCTGTTTAGACTCTTTCTTTAATGAGACAGATGCCACAGTGTGAGCTCAGCCTGTCCGTGGCTCCTCAGTGCAAATAGATTCATTAGCCTTTTCACACTGTCACATTACTCATCATTTATTAATCCATTGCCCTGCACCACCAGCCTCCCTCCTTCTCTCTTTTGTATATTATCCCAGCCATTACTGAAACAGAATTACTCCAGCACAGTCCCTCCCCCTGGCTGAAGGTAAGAGGCCGTCACTGTTAGTTCTTAGCCTCTAATTGGATCTGGGATCTGGGTTATGACTGGGACCCTTAATAACCTCTGTTGGGCCCAGTGATTGTTGAAGAGCTAATAAGGGCTCTTATGAGAGAAAACCCTTCGCTGTGCATGGAGTGGCACACCCACAAATTCAAAGCCTCGCTCCAGACCCCGACCATTTAGTCACATTATAGACGCTAGAAACAGCTGACAATCTAAAGGAGAAAACTGAAAATGAGAGGAGAAACAGGGGGACACTTTCCCCGTTCATGCGGCTTGAGGGGTAAATTAAAAGGTTAACGAAGATGAAAGTGGTGTGACTCTATGGCCTTTACACAAGAGACCTGACCGGCTGGCCAATCAGAGCAGACCGGGCTTTGTTACGGGGGCATGAGCTGAATCTGAACGTTTGAGCTAAGAGTTCCAGGAAGAGTTCGAACAAACTAAAGTGTTTTATAACCACTGAAGCCTGTGAACCTTTTCAAGCAGTGCCCCAAATAAAACTTATGAACATAACAGGTCCCCTTCAATGTGTTTTATTGTATTCATGTGCGGTTGATCAGTGAGTCTGGGACCAATTGTGGACATTAACTACATCAGCTATGACTTTAAATTCCGAGTCATCCGCAGTACAGTTAGTTTTTAGTTTGTGTTTTTTGAGCGGTGCAGTTTGTGACAAGCAGGTGTTCTTTTCTACTCTGGTTGACTGTGATGAATGATATTGTTTGTGTTTCTCTCGCTGACAGGTCAATGTCTGACTGCAGTGCTCTGAGTTGTGAACAATGCACACATCTCAGCACATTTGATTTAAACGACCTTCTTTATAGTGTTGTGTTCTACTAAAACCTGTAACTCGTAATAAACAGATGTCACTATGCACATAGACAGTCATGTATGACATAGATTGTACCACGTGTTTTTTGGTTACAATATCAATTGTAGTATAAAAATATTCTATTCTATCATAATTGCTCTTTATTACAAATATAGTCAACTAATAGTACATAATTCTACTTTTGCATGGTGACATCACAGCTTGGTCTGTCTGTTTACTCGCCTCTTGGTTTGACTCTGTGTCGTTCAGCTGGAGGAGCAGCTGAGTCGTGTCCAGAGGGAGAAGAATGACGTGCAGTCCAGAATGGAGGAGGACCAGGAGGACCTGAACGAGTTGATGAAGAAACACAAGGCCGCTGTGGCACAGGTCTGCTTTTTCTCCTCTCGGCCACTTTCACATACACTGAGCCACTGGAATAATTTAAATCACATTTGCTTATTAATACTTCCATTTCCTTTCTGGGATTTATTCTCTCATTAATAATTTTACCTAATTAATTTGACTAAATGGAAATCTTCTTTTATTCCATCTCTGAACTGAGTTGGTCACAGTCTCCATTTCATAGACTCCACTCATATAGTGGAGATAAAAATGGATTAAATCCAACCA